GAAAGACACAACATCTCTTTTCTTACTAATTATTCCTTGGCAAAGGTGTAAGCAAGGGGAACTGCATTCTACCATAAATGGGCTCTCCATGTGGGAGGATTACTAGAGGATGCCCTGCAAGCTAGTCTTGAACATCAGAGCATTCAATGGCCATTGGTTCTGAGGCATTGGGTTGGTATGGAGGATTAATGGTTTGTTTTTGTGGTATGCTATAGATAGGTCTAGTTCATGAAGATAGGAGTTTGCTTTAATCATCTATTTGTTTATCTGTGAGGTGACTTTTGTGACACTCTATTTCATTGGAAATGCTGTGGTAGTGGAACGTTCATTTTCATAAAAATCAAGGCACTGTTTAAAGGTCGTGATATCAATAGCCAAGTACACAGGTTTTGGGTTAGGTACTGATACTTAGAAATTTCATGATACTGACAGGTGTCAACGAATCATAATGTAAGGCAAGGACAGTAGTAACACTGAGTAACTATGTCACATAATCATAGTTAGGAAAAAAAATCCTGTGTTTGTGCTTTGTAAATCATGTCAAAAATATGTTTGCTTGTTTGTGTTTTTTTTTTTTTTTTTTTTTTTTGGTGTGTGTGTGTGTGTGAGAGAGTTCAGCATTTTATCATCATGACCGCAATGGTGAACTGATTCTGTAGTTGAGTGTTCCATAAAGCTCATTTGGGAGTGAAGGTTTTGATCTTTTATATTTAATGTGAATTCCAGCAAGAAAGCTACTTGCAAGGAGAGGAACAGAGCTGACTTCTCCGTTCTTATGGAATGCAGCAAATGCTGGCACTTCAGGCGAGATATCGTTTGGTAATACATGTATTAGTTTTAGAATAACAATTTTAATGCTTCCCCAAGAGATGGAAAAATTTATGTTGGACACACTTGTGGCTTCAATTGCACATTGCAAAAGGCTCTCTGGGGTCTGTGCAAGGACATGTGAAGCCTCGTAAGACAGCCCATGTGTACTCCCCTCTTCTAATCCCCCTGCTTCCCTTGTGGGGATTTTCAGAAACCCCGAGGAAAGAGGCCATAATTCTGTCAACACCACACACCACAGGAGCAGGCTTGGGTCTTGATCCCTGGAAGCTGTGCAGTGGAGCTTGAGTTACAATGCTGCAAGAGAGCATGTGGCCTGGGTAGAATAAGGGCTTTGTGCCACAAAGGTCATTGTCCCTAAGAGCTGTCAGAGGCAGCCTGCTCCCTGGTGTTACTTTAATGATGGTCTGTGAATACCTCAGATCTCCAGGGAAGGAGAAGGGAAACAGTCCTTGCTAAATCCATGAGCTCAAGCAGAAAATGCTTTCAGCTCTCTCCCAGCTTGTAGAATATGAAATTATACGAGGTTTCAATTTTATTGTAAATCTCTTACTGTGTGGATGGAGTGAGTGAGGACTAAAGTCTTGACATGACACAATCAGAGGACTTGTGTATATTAGGGCCGTTTCCTGGTGACCTGAGTCTAATGCTTATACAGTTTACCTTAGCTGTGGGGCCTGGAGGCCAATCTTGTACTCTGGCCAGAAGCTTCACTGAGAGCTCCAGCAGATCAGTAGATGGAAGAGAGAAAGGCCAAGAGTTTGTTTCCATGGCAATCTCCTTGCAGGGTGGCCAGAGAGAGGCTACAGTTGTGTTTGGTGACTCTCAATATTTACCCTTCTCTGTTTCTGTCTTCAGTAAACTCAACCTTCCCACACCCTCGCAAGCACAAAGACATGGCAGTGCACCATTGCCACTGGCCTTGAGTTGCTGGATTCTTCTCTGGTGTTTGTCTGGTCAAGATTCTGGTGTACTAGACAAGTTGAGTTGACACTGCCCCTCAAGCAGTGAAAACAGGGTCATCTTTGTTTCCAGTGTCATTTTGATAAGGATGGGGTTCTCTTAGTTCTGTTTTTAGTGTGTCAAATCAAACCCTTTTGATTTGTCAAGGCTATCCAGCTAACATATTAAAAGGAGATTATGGGCATAATTGCTTAAAGCCTAGTTCAGGTTATATACTTGATGGTTATTTATTTTTTTGGGGGGGGGGTGCATGTAAAAAATGAGCTATTTATTTATTTATTTTCTTTTTCAAGACAGGTTTTCTATGTGTAACAGCCCTAGCTGTCCTGGAACTAGCTCTGTAGACCAGGCTGTCCTCGGGCTCACAGATATCCACATGCCTCCCAAGTGCTGGGATTAAAGGCACTCACCACCACTGCCCCATGAGCTGCTATTTTATTATGAAAAACAATGTTCATTTCTCCTCTTCATTCCTTATTTGTACATCATTTTCTATTAAATTTTGTTGTTCAAATCTGGGTGCCTTTCTTCCTTTCTCAGGTTTCTTTCTGCCTTACTTTCTATCTCAGTCAGATGGCCTTCAGATGAGTGAAAGATGCAGTATTATTCTTAAGAATCTCCCATTTGTCTAAGTTAGTTAACTGTGGTCTCCATCAGATGCAAAATCATCCTGACAAAAGCTAAACACTACATCCAACTTAAATACACTCAGCAAACATTTCCTCATAATTCTTTTTCACTCCAGTCCTCCAGAGGAAGCCATGCATGAGAAACCTTACTCTAACTCCTTGAGAATTTATGCTAAAGCATGAGAGAGAAAACAATGAGAATGGGAACATTTGTAATATAACCATGATGTTTCAAATGCTTGCTATGAGCCAGACACTCTGCTTAATGCTTTACATGTGGGACTTTATTTAAAGCTCATCAACTTTGTGTGTAATAGCATGTTATGTTTAAGATAATTAAGCCTCAGCAAGAACTAAGCGTGTTGAGTTAAGGGGAAAGGCAGACCTTGAACTCAGGGCTGCTGGACTGTGAGGTCTGTATGGCTGCTGACCTCCTCTACCTCTTCTATGTAAGAGAAAATATGTGCAACTTGCTCAAGTTTGGAGAAGAAATAAATGACATTCATCAAAAGTACAGATGTAGAATAGAAGAAAATGTGGTGTTTATACGGCCTTTGGCAGTTACCAATCAGAAACGATGAGGTTAGAAACAGTCATACAGACCCCTGTATGCTTTCAGTGTCCTCAAAACTGAGCCGGGGTCCAAAGGTATAAATATGAGTTCAGATTCCCCTGGGTACTTTTAGTACATTTTACACTAGTCCTATTCCCATTCAATCTTTCCTTCCTAATGCTTCTGCCAAGTGTGAGGGACTGACTTCAATTCTAAAGATTCTTGCCTCAAAGGGTTTAATCTTGGAGGTTCTGAAGCTACAGTGCAGTGGTGCTGATTGAGCTGGTGCTCCATGGATGAACATATAGTCCTCCTCTGACATTTCCCAGAACCAGTAGCTACTTTGGAATTGTGGTGGGATGACGTGTGTTGGGAACGTCACTTCTTTCCTACTTCATTAGACTCTGGGTTGATGTATCTTCTGACCCTAGGACAGTGGGCTTCACCTGTCTGACAGGAACATACATAGCCATTCTTAAAAAAAAAAAATCTGACTTTCAGATGTCATAAAACCAAGATACATTTGTTTTCTGCACACTCTACCTCTCCGTCCCTAGTACAAACAGGCACAGTCATAACTAACCTCAGCTCTCCCTCTGTGAGTAGTGTCTGGATGAAAGTGACCCAGTGAGAATGACTGTTGGGTCTTCCCCGTGGTCTGGAATACTCCTAGGCTAGTGACTTCCCACAGTACTTTGTAAGGAATCAATACTTGTTGAATATTTACAATGTATCACACAGTGAGTTAGGGAACTTTTATATCACCTTCTTAATTCTTAGAGCACACGGAACCATCACTAGAAACTTCAGATTCAGAGAGCTTAGGAATCTCATTCAAGGTCACACAGTAGGTGGCAGAGCTGAAATCGGAACCTACACTTAGGATGACATGAAGCCAGTTCTTTACTTAGGTATGAGTAGGTATCAGCACTGCTCTTCGGAAGATTTTAAGACTAAAAATCTGGGCATTAAATAATGTTTAAGGTCACATTGCAACCCAGGAATACATACACAGGTAGGTATACCCAGGCACAGCAGTATGCCAATATCAGAACAGACTTCTAAGTGATTCTGAGTGTCAGCTGATGGTTAGAAATAGAGCGTGCAGTGGGAAAGTACATTTTTTTTTTAAGAAAACAAAACCAAAATCAAACATTCAGAAAAATGGCTGGGCTTTTCAACTTAAAGTAACACAGGGAATTGTTGTTATTATTATTGTTACTCACTGCAGGCTACTACTGAAGCTTACCATTTATTTTCGGAGATGTTCATGTGGGGCTCAGGATGTGTCAGCTCCAGGAAACTTCAAAACAATCAGCGAGGCAGATGATCTGTAGGCTTGTTGCACAGACATGCTGTATACAGACAGTGTCCTGCCAGGAGCTGTTAGAAGAGCTGTCTCCACTGCTCTCTTTCTGAGAACAGCCTGACTAGTCAGGGGCAAGAATTGTATTCATGGGTTTGCTGAATGTCGTTTATGACCGTACCTAAAAGCAATTGATGCATTTCATTTTAAATACAAGGCTAGACAAATTCTTTCTTTAAAGGTAAAATGTCTAGCTAAGAAGTAATGGGTGTGTCACCTTGGGATTGAGATTCATGTAGGATAAAGTCTAATTGCCTAGGGATCCTATGCTTGGCCATGCACTCCCTTGAAGTGAGCTGACTTTAGCAGTGTAGGAAAATATTCTATCGGGCTTCTCTGAGGCCACAACAATCTCTGCCTTTAGACTTAATAACCACGAAGTCATTGTCAAGTCTTATTGGATGGTGCTATGTGCTTTTCAGGAGAAAGCACATCACAGGATGTGCAGGGCCATGATGAAGATCCTTCCCACACAATCTGTGGTAGCAGCTTTCGAGGGATCCTTGGCAAGCCCAAGCTCTTTCTGAAACTTTGAGGTAATTCTGTACAGTAAGACCCCTTGGTGTAAAATCACAGTATCCCAGGTGTTCATTAAAGAAAACACACACACACACACACACACACACACACACACACACACACACACACACCAGTCATTTGGTAAATTACATTATCTGGGCTGCTTTATTGGATAGAAGGGAGCTAGAGAATGCCTCAGAAAAAAGCAAACTTCTTAATTTCCGTGGTTTTGGACAGAAGCCATTTACTTTCCATCTATGTTGTCTGTCAGGTGGGCATCCTCTTCTGGTAGCTTTTTCTCCAGACTCCCAGGATTCAGGCATCCAGCCTTCTCCCCATGTAGCTCCGTGGAACTGGGAATGCATTGGCTGTTTCTCCATGAATGGGTAAAGGAAGGATTGCAATAGAATGTGGCTGAATATCCAACCTAAAGGCAGGAGAGACAGAAAAAGATGAAACAACAAGCAACTGTAGTAAACACTTGTTTGTTTGTTTGTTTTGGTTTTAAGAGCTGGGATCAGCATGGGGGTAGAAGTTGATAGGAGATCTTTGGTTTGGATTAGTGAAGGATGCTAGTAGGAAGAAAGACATTGTGAAACCAAACAATACTACAGAAGTCACCCCAAGACACAAAAATCTCAAATCCAATGTTTTAGTCATTGGAGATTAGCAATGTTAGAATTGGCTAACCAGATTCCCAAATTAAGGAAAATGAATAAATAAACTACCCCCAAATAAAACCGAAGAAACCCTTTTTTTTTCCATTTTGTTTGAGTTGATAAAAGTAAGAAATAACACACTGTTGCAGCTGTATAGCTGGTGTGGGTCTTTACTGGTGGATGGTAGGAGGCTTTGGGTTACAGCACATTATGATATGTTTGCACTCTCTAGGCCATTAGAAAATCTGGGAATGTGAAACAAGATCTTTATGTGTGAATGTGGATGTGAAGCTAGATATTTACATCAGCAATTGTTATGTATGCCAATTGTTTGGTGTAGCATGAATCTTAAAAGTTCTTATTAATAAAATCAAACCTGAGGCCAGTTATTGGGGTCAATGCTGGTAGATCAGAGAGACAGAATAAGCCACAGCTATCTCACCTCACCAGTTCCTCAGCTGGTCCTGTTTCCTCAGACTGGAAGCTTCTGTGTCCTCATCCAGAATGAATCTCAGCTGAACTGCTGCTCCAAAGCCTGAAGCTTAACCAGCCAAATGCTTAACCAGCCAAAAGCCTCTAGTTTCTGGTCCTCACGCCTTATATATCTTTCTACTTTCTACCACCACTCCCTGGGATTAAAGGCTGGCTTTCTGGGATTAAAGGTGTGTGTCACCATGCTTGGCTATTTCCAATGTGGCCTTGAACTCACAGAGATCCAGAGGGATTTCTATCTCTGGAATGCTAGGATTAAAGGCGTGTGCTATCACTGACTAACTAGTGGCTTGTCTGATCTCTGACCCCAGGTAAGTTTATTAAGGTACACAATATTTTGGGGAACACAATACCACCACAGTTTGGTACTAAGAATCCATTTCCTATCTCTTTATTGTTGGGTTCCTACTTTAGGTGAAGTAAGCAGTGTGTGCCAGTTGTGTGTCATTCATCTGAGAATGGTCATGAAGATTGCGACCACGTCTTGGCTACTGTGAACAATGCTGTAATGGACTTGAAGTGCAAATATTGTCTTAAGATCCATTTTCAATTGTTTCATGTAAGAGCTCAGTAGGATTCCTTGAATATATGCTAGTTTTATATCTAACCTGAAGCTTCCGTTCAGTAAAGGAAACAATTAGCATAGAAAAAGATAACCTACAAAAATATTTGCAAGTAATTGATCTGATAAGACATTATCTAAAATACATATGGTGCTATATTTCAATAACAAAACAGTCAGCCTACTTGGAAAATGGGCAACAGACTTGAATAGGCATTTTTCCAAATAAAGGCACATATGGCCAACAGGTCCATGAAAAGACACTCAATATTACCAATTATCAGGGAAAGGAAAACCAAAACCCCAATAAAATAGTATCTGATAGTCATTAGAGTGCCATGAACAAAATTCAAGTAGGAGAAAATATCAGGAGTCCACAATGAGGCAGAGAGATCTGAACATGGTTGCACTGTTTGTGGGAGTGCAAAGTAGGGCAGTCACAGTAGAGGTTTTGTACTTATCTCCTATTAATTACAGCACCTCAAAAGGTTTTGAAAATGTTGTGTGTCTCCCTTCCTGAGCCATGCTTTTTGTGTGATATTTAACTCTTGGAGTTTGCCAAAGTGATTGGTATAGCAATGATATATCATCTAAGCTAGTTACTATGATGTGCTTAGAAAGACTAATACTTAAGTCATTCCAACTCCTATTCAAGAGCTGCCCAGGAAACTTCAGAAACTCCATTGATGATCCAGCTTATTTTCTGCATTCTCAAGGCCCCCATCTCTTCTTCTACTCACCCTCTGTATTAATTATCTTACATCCTCTTTTTTTACAATCTCTAAGACCCTTTTGCCCCCATTTCTCCCAGTTATGTTATTACATCTTCATCCACTCACTCATTAAAATCTGTGCCCTTGTTTTCTCCCCTCCGTCTTTTGTGACCTATACCTGCTGGGTCACAGCTCTTCCTGAGTACTCATGGGCATCATGCTAACACTTCTCTCTCACTACTGTATGTAGGCAAATTTTCCTTCTCCCCTGAACCATTAACATCAGTATTGATAAGAGATGCAATATTTCCAATGATAAACACCTTATTTGATGTGCAAATATCTGCTTCTTTCCCCCCAAACCTACTAAGATGGTGGTCTGTTTGAAGCATCTACTTGCACTTTTCTACATGGAGATTGGCTTTTGTTGTTCAACTTCATATTGACATGAAATAAAATTTTAATTAACTTTTTCTTTAAATTTTTAATTAAGAATTTCATGCACGAATACTGTATTTATGTCATTTCTACCTTTTCTCTCTCCCTTCCAACTCCTTCTCAGTCCTCCCACTCCCTTTCAAGTTATTGACCTCTTTAATTACACACACACACACACACACACACACACACACACAGAGAGAGAGAGAGAGAGAGAGAGAGAGAGAGAGAGAGAGAGAGAGAGAACTCTGATGGCTCCATGTAGTATTTCTCTTATGTATATGTGTAGGTATTACTTCTTGGGACAGGATAACCTATCAGGGAGCTTGTCCCTAGAGAAGACACTCTTTTGTTCTGTAGCCATTAATGGCCTATAATTATTCATCTAGGGCTAAGCCTTGCGATACTTCCCCTATCTGCATTAGCATGACAATGGTGTTATCATTATGTGGGTCTTATTTAGGTAACCACACTGTGAAGATGTCATAGATGCACCTTCCCTGTCATTTATAGAAGACACATCTTGCAGTGCACACCCTGGTCCTCTGGCTCTTACAATCTTTCTTCCCTCTCTCCATCAATGTTCCCTTACCCTTAGGTATAGGTATAGATTTTTCAGTTGAGGTTGGCTACCCCACTGTCAATTGTCTTGTGCGTTTGGACCAGCTACAGATTTCTGTAATTGTCTGTCTGCTGCAAAGAGAATCTTCTTTTATGAGGGCTGAGAACTAAACTTACCCAGGTGTGTCAGTATAAGTATTTAGAATACAGTCAGGCATTACAGTTGTTTAGGAAAGTGGCAGTTGCAGATTCTTCTTGCATGGTCTCCCCAGGTAGTCATCTATATTTACACGACAAGGTATGAATTCCCTCCCGACAGGGCTTGAAGCCAAATTAGATAGCTGCTTCTTCTGGTGGCGGCTGGCAGTGTCTCCCCTGCTCTGTCTTCTTCCTTCCTCTCTCTCTCTTTAGAATGTCCCGCCTAACCTTATTCTGCCTCACCATTGGCCAAACAGCTTTATTTATCAACCAATCAGAGCAACACATTTTCACAGCATACAGAATGACATCACCCATCAGTATTCCATTGTATTTTTGTACTACATTTTCATTTCTATTCATCAGTTGAAGGACATTTAGCTTGTTTCCGTTTCCTAAGCTAATTGTGAATAAAGTGGCAATGAACATATTTAAGCAATATTAGTGGAGTAGGAAATTGCATTTGGGGATATTCCACATGTGGTTATTTGAATAAAAATGAGCCCATAGGCTTATAGATTTGAATGCTTGGTCACTAAAAAGTAGTACTATTAGGAGGTATGGTTTTGTTGGAGTAGGTATGGCGTTGTTGAAAAAAGTGTGTCACTGTAGGTGGGGTTTGGGATTTAAAAAGCTTAAGCCAGGCCCAGTGTTTCTCTCTCTGCCTGCAGATCAAAATATAGAACTCTCAGCTACTCTATAGCACATGCCTGCCTGCATGTCACCATGCTTTCTACCATGATGACAATGGACTAAACCTCTGAATTGTGAACAAGCCCAATTAAATGCTTTCCATTATAAAAGTTGCCAAACTCATGGTGGCTCTTCATAGCAATAGAGCATTTCCTAAGACATGCTCTTAGGAAAATGATATGGCTGGGTCATATGGTAGATTTAGTTTTAATTTTAAAAGAAGTCTCCATATTACTTTCTATAGTGGCTGCACAGCTTGGCATTCCCACCAACAGTGAATGAAGGTTCCCCATTTCTCACATCCTTACTAGAACTGGTTGACAATTGTTTACTTGACCTTGGTTATTCTGATGTGAGTAAGATAAAATCTTAAAGAAGTTTTAATTTACATTTCCCTAATTGCTAAGATTTTGAACACTTTTAAAGATAACTCTTAATTGTTTTTTTCTTTTGAGAATTCTCTGTTCAAATCTGTAGCCCAGACCTGTAGGCTGTAGATCAGGTCATTTGTTTTCTTGATTATTTGTTATGTGAGTTCTCGTTATTGTTATGTGTGTAGTCTCGATATTATTCTTCCTAGAACATCCTTGGAATTTTTTCCTTTAGTTTTTCAAGACAGGGTTTCTTTATGTAGGTCTGGCTGTCCTGAAACTCACTCTTTAGATCAGCCTGGCCTCAAACTCAGAGATCTGCCTACCTCTGCTTCCTGAGTTCTGGGATTAAAGGTATGCACTGGCCATCATTGGGATTTTGATGGGGAATGTGTTGAATCTAAAGACCAGTGCTGTGTGGCACTATTCTTGAGGAGATGTGAACAAAAGCCTATTCACCCCAGGTAGTGAACTGATGACCAAAGTATGGATACCATCAATGTCCAACTTCATGAACTTTATTTGGGTTACTGACAAGAATATGGGTGAAGGGTTATGTATAGGAAATGAAACCATTCAAAGACAGCTACATCACCAAAACTCCACCTCAGTATGGGTAACAATTCATGGAAGCTGAATGAGCACCCTGAACAAACAACCCCCAGGCAGCTGTACATCTGAGAGTGTCCTTCACAGGTAGCTCAGTTGGTTTGAGCTTCTTCCAGGTAGCTCAGCTGGTCCCTGCTTTTGGCAGAGATCATGGATGATCTCCATCTTTTTCAGGTGGCTCAGCTGATCTAAACCTCTTTTAGGCAACTCAGTTTGTTTGAAAGTCACTATCAGCAGTCCTTGTTGCTTATTTATGCTTGAGAAGGGAGAGGCCTAGTTAATCTGCTCTGTTTCAGGGACTTCCTGAGGAAATAGAGTTTTTACTTCCTGAATTTAACTAGTTTCCCTGCAGGATGGAATGTTTCACCTTCCCTGAGAGCATTCTCTTGTTTTACTTCACTTTTAACATTCTATCTTTTAAAATAGAAATTCATTTATTTTATTTTATGTGTATGAGTGTTTTTTCTACATATATGTATGTGTATCACATGCACACATTACCTTTGGAGATCAGAAGAGGGTATCAGATCCTTTGGGACCTGGAGTTACAGAAAGTTGTGAGCCACTGTGTGGGTGCTGGGAATTGAACCAGGGTCTTCTGGAAGACCAGTCTGTTCTCTTAACTGCTGAGCAATGTGTCCAACTCTTTAGCATCCTATCTTAAAATATTCTCCTGTTTTACCTCCCCTTTAATACCCTGTGTCTTAATGAGCTTCTCTTTAAATGGAAGCTTTTAATCTCAGAGGAAACTACTTCACAGCGACCATTTTTGGCGATCTAGCCATACTTACATTACTATAATGTGTGGTAATATTTTATTTGTGCTGAATTGTAATATTTTATTTGTATGTTAATAAATAAAGTTTGCCTGGAGATCAGAGGTTACAGGCAGCCACAAACAGAAGTCAGATCATGGTAGCACATGCCCTTAATCCAATCACATGGAAGGCAGAGTCTCTGTGTGTTCAAGGATACAACCAAGCATGGTGACACATGTCTTTAAGCTCAGTACCAACTATAGAGACCTGGAGGTCTGTATAGACAGGCAGTGATGAGGAAGTGAGATGGCTGGGCTTAGACCAATGAGAAGGCAGAACAGAAAGGCAGTAAAGGCACAGGTTAGACAGGAAGAGGCTTGCTTGGGAAGCTACAGCGACGTGGTGAGCTAAGGTTAGTTGGTATCTATTGCTCTGATCTCTACAGCTTGAATCCCTGTATTTGGCTCTGTGTTTATTATTTAATAAGACCATTTAAAAATTCCTCTACAATCATGGCCAATCTTTGAACATTGATAGTATTTCCATCATCTAGTGCCATCCTCCACTTCCTTTGACATTTTCATTATAGTGGTCCTCCACCTCCTTTGCTAGGTTTATTCTTAGCAATTTTTTGACTCTATTGTGAATGGACTATCTTTTCCTAATATCTTTCTCTGAGTGTTCGGTGTTGGTATACAGAAAAACTACTAATTTTTATCTATTGATTTTATATATTGTCAGTTTACTGAAAATATTTTTATCAGGTCTAAGAGTTTTCTGGTATAGTTTGTAGGGTTTTATTAGATTATGTCCTATACAAGTAAGGGTAATTTGAATTCTTTTCTTACATATACCATTTTTATTTATTTATTTATTTCATCTTACATCTCTAGTTAAAACTTTGAGCACTATATTTAATAAAGATGGAGAGCATGGGTGCTCTTGTATAATTCTACATTTTGAAGGGAATTCTCTGTTTCCCCACTTAACATATTTTCTGCTACAGATTGATTTTATATAGCCTTTATTGTACTGAGATGTGTTCTACTTATACCTAGTTTCTTCAGGACTTTTATCATAAAGTCATGTTGATTTTTGTTACACAAATCTTGTGCATCTATTGAGACAATCATGGGATTTCTGTCCTCAATGCTGTTTAAGTGATAAGATGCTTAACAGTGAATATCATGGGATTTACAATCACTATGGAAACATGTATGTGAGGGCTTGTCTTGATTGGCTTAGGTAGAAAGACTCACCTTAAAGGTGGGTCGTATTGTTTCATGGTCTGAGATCCCACATTGAATAAAGAGGAGAAAGTGAACTGAGCATTGGTATTTATCACTCTCTGCTTCCAGATTGTGGATGTAGTTTAACCAGCTGCCTGTACCCGTGATTTTCTTACCATGATGGGCTGTACTCTCACACTGTAAGCCAAAACAAATCCTTCTAGCCTTAGCTTGCTTTTGTTGAAGCATTCTATCACATCAACAAAACCAGTGACAAATGCAAAAAAATCCTGGTATTAAGAAGTGGAGCTGGTGATGCGATAAACCTTATTATGCGGATTTAGGCATGTGGAACTGATTTGTGAGAAGAATGTAGTAGAAGACTTTGAATTTGGGGGTTACAAAAGGCTTAGTAGATAGCACCACTGGGAGAACTATGGACCATGGAGGCCCAGCTCAGGAGGTTTCAGAGAGAAACAAGGATTCTATGAGAATCTGAGCTAGAAACCACTCATTGGATATTCGGACCAAGAATTGGGCTATATTCTATCTACATCCTGAGAACTCTGTATTTTCTATAAGTCTGTTGCAATAACTGCCATTGATAATACTTCCATGGTGTTTTTATTTGGTTGATTCTTCCATTTGTTGGGTCTTTCTCAGAGTTCAATTCTCTTGTTAAAATTTCTTCATATTTACTCCTAAATGTTGACCATTCACCCTCTCCTCTGGCTTTGTTGTCTCAATCCTGAACTGATATCCTTATTTCCTTCATCTACTTGTTTGAACACTTTCATGTGGTCATCAATTCTTTTAATGAAGACTCTACAATCTTTTGCTAGCATTTCAGGTATCTCATTATCTCTGGTTTCTGTTCTTGAGTTATGAGCTCATTGAGGTTGCACAGTAGATTATTGTCTCATATTTTTGTGTTTCTGTTGTGTTTTATGCATTCCCTGGGTTGAATGTGTCCTCTAATCCTCCCCTGGCCCCTTCCCCCATTCTCTTCATTTGTTTGATTTTATGTAAGTCTTCACTGGGATTTATATTCCCTACTACTTTTCAGAAGGGAAGATCACTGCAGTAACAGGATTTGACAGCATTCTTGGTGTTAACTTGAAATAGAAGGTACTGTGTATTTCACATGTGTCACTGATACTGCTAAGGTACAGCTTGGGGAACACACAGTTTTCATTTTTTATTTTTATTGTTAGAGCTAAAGGTAGCAATATTTAAAAAATAAAATGAGGAGGGAAGAGAAAAGATGGAGCAATGCATGAATGAGAAGGAAAATATATGGGTTAGATGTGTCACGGAGAAAATATTGTGGAGTAGGTGAGAGAAAGAAAGAACATACATAAAAGCTGTTACCAATGAGACACAAGCAAATAATTAAAGTATAAAGTGTAAATAATTTTAAAACCAATGAAATGAAAAGGAAGGTACTATGACCTCAGTTAGCAGTTAAGCCTCATTAAAATTTTGAGTCCTCTTCTTATCCTTGGATTGTCTTTTTCCTAAGTGTTCACAGGTGGAGAAGAG